AGCAGAACTCTCCATGAAGTCCATTAGCTTCCACCAGCTGTGGGTCTAGTCCAATGTTTAAAGCAAACGATAGTGTTGCTTTTCAATATTTAAGCTGTGCAGCAACCTGCACCATTTGCATGTGCATGTCCATCTACATGCACAGATTTACAGTAATACACATAAATCACGTGTCTTGACCTACCTAACTCTGCTGTTTCCAGGAAGCATGTGACCAATTGCATGCTTTTCTCTCCTTTCACGTTCCCACCCTTTGTTCACTCAGCGAACACGTGTTTTCTGGTCCCCCACCTCACAGCTGCTGCCCATGGATGAACCTGCCTTCCCTTTTCCTGCTGCAGATTGTGTCCTAGCAATCTCCTCTCTCTGGTGAGCGCAGGTCACTCATCAGAGCTTCCGCGTGACTCACCAACATTGTAAGTAACATCCAAAAAGCTGAAAAGCACTGCTTCGCATGGCCTCTGGCTGCCTGCTTGGGTAAAGCAACTTGAGTTTTGCCCACAGGTGAATTCTGTGTCCTCCCCTTTGAGAGCTGCTGAGCTAGCCTGGACGCGAACAGAATAGTGAGAAACTGCAATAGCAGCATAGCGGAAGGCAGGATTCCTCGAATGAAAGTTGTACCTAACACCACACCTGCACATTAGAAGCTTTGATGCTTCTACACTCTCCTGTTAAATATTCTTACACTGTGAACAGATGTCTACGCTAGTATTTAAGGTTTGACACTTCATATGTTGGCTTAAATCTGAAATAATTAATTCCAATGAGCCAGCAGTTATGTGTTATCACATTTTTCATCAGATTGGGAATTGGGTCTAGTGGGCACCTCCTCTCCATTCATCTACAGAATGATTTTTTCCCCATATACTGAGCTCAGTCTTAAACAGAGCAACAGCTTGTGGTTTTAACAATACTTCTGCAGACACAGCAATTGGCTTTTGGATGTTTCTAAAATGTTTTTGTGGCAATAATAGCATAGTGGCATTTTCAATATCACAGTAACAAAAACTGACTTCATTAAAGAAAACCTAAGAATTTTTCTCCACAAAAACTTCTGCACAGGTTCCTCAAATGCACCACATAGGTGTGATATATTTCAAGCTAGTTGTACTGAGAAATAACACATTGCAGTTTGTAATTCATTAGTACATCGCCAACTTTAAATACTCATCATTAAATACTTTTTACATTTTGGGAGTAGTATTATAGACATATTTTCCTCCTTCTTACATTTTTCAGAATCTGAAATTGATGGTATTTGGCCACAGCAAAAGCAAATGGCTTCTAAAAGGCTACAACTCCCCAAGTTCTTAGTTCCTGTAGAGGACTACAATTATATTCAGTCACCTGGAATTGACTAAAATCCAGTAAAATTTTGACAATGAGAAAAATGATGAAAATGCACAGACAGTATTTTTGAAAAAGCATTATTCATTATGCTGACATTGTACACGATTTTAGCATCTTCTGACTGTCGTATGTGAAGTTCTGCCGCGTTTTGTTAATTAAGAGATTAGGCACAATGAATTTCTAGGTAGCAAAGACTTAACTGATCAGAACTCAAAAAACTGAAAGCTGCTGCTTCCAACGAATCTCAGTTTCTAGCTAATGGCAAAGCTATTGTAAGACAGTCTTCCTTGGAAAAACTGTTAAGATTAACTTCATCTGTGGACACTCCAAGCATGACTCGCACTTTAGTTATTTAAGGTTAAAAAAAAAGCCCGCATAGTTAAACTGGCATCAAATGTTGATGCATGAAGCAGAAAAATCTGTTCTGCTCAATACACCAGGTTTTTTTAGTTTTTTCATTCAGACAGGCTTTTAGAACAGGGTAATTCTATTCTTTTAGCATTCTTTCAACCTACATGAAACCAAGCCATTAAAAAAGTTTTAGTAAAACGTATGATATCCACAAGAGCTTAAGGATAAGCCTCATAGCCAGAAATAAACGGTAGATATCAAAATTTAGTATCTTTTAACATCCTAATCCTTCACAGAAGGTTAGTGAAGACATGAGACAAGCCTAATCAAAGATAACTGCAATTCAAACGTCAGCATTTACTCCGCGTTTTGAAACCTGTAGTTGCCAGGTATTTCCAAGAATGAGAAAGTGGTGGCCCAGCAGATGAGACATAGGAATTCACACAGCGGGTGTTACATTCAAGGAGGCAGTTGGAGGCAACCAACCACCCCTCTTCAGTTCTGATTCTCAGAGTTTAATCTTCTCTTTCACCGAGACTGACATTTCTGAGGCTCAGCACCCGTAGCACTGAGCTCTTCTGAGAAGGAAGCAACGCTTGTCACTGAGCCCTGCTACCATGCAGGCTATACATTCACTGCACCGCGTCTGTTGCAGAGTAAGGAACTTTGCTTGTAGGAAATTGCTGCCAAATTAATCTTGTGCTATCCTTGGTCAAGTCCAGATTAATTATGTTCAAGTCAGAGAGAGCTGCCCTCCACTTCTGGACAAACAGAGCCTCCGGATTCGGTATGAGTTAACAGCGGTGTACTAAGGGCATTACAGTGACCGACAAAGCAGGAAACACGGACCTGGTGCCTGTATTCACTAACAGGAGCAACTACAAAGTGAATTAAAATGGGTCTGATAAGCGAGGTCTGTCTGCTGAGGCTACCTGTTTGTGGGTTTGGGGTTTTTTGTTTGGGTTTTTTTGATATATTTTTTTAATTATTATTTTATTTTGGTTTGTTTTTAGACTGTGATTTGCGACGCTATTCAAACCCACACCGTTACTTGCAGCTGCTCCACAAGGTTGCAGTCATGCATTTAGTAAAGTTTCCAGAGTGGGTGGGGGATTTCCCCCCCCCTTCCTTTTTTGCACCCAAACGAAAATGCAAGCTCAACACTCCCTGTTAGTTTACTCTTACCTCATTATCACTAATGCAAACCCCACTAAAATACAGGGGGATGCACTTGTTCGATCTGTAGTATCTAGCAGCCACACACAATAAGCAACGGACCTAGTCTCACTTTCAAATTTAACGTCAATTTTTTAATGAAAATACTGGTAAATTGTAAAATTGATTCAGACTGGAGACAGACTTGGTATGCAGCCATTGGCATATTTTCAACAGCTGTCCAGACACAAAATTAATTTTTAAGTAGCTTCTTCCTTACCTGGAATAAAAAGAGCATGGAGAAGGGCCTTTAACGTGATTACCCTGAACCTAAAATTTCCCTCAGTTTTATTAGGAATGATATGTACTTATGTCATACAGCAGTCCCGGTGGCACTTATATACTACATCTACTCTATACATCTTTTTTTTTTTTTCCCCCTAGACTTGAAAAAGAGTGTATTAGAAATTAAACAGCAAATAGCTTAATGAGAGAAAAAATAAACAAGATCCACAGAATAGATCACCCATGAAAATTAAGACCCAGTTTTATCAATGACACTAAAGGAGCATGTCCCAGAGCTCGTAATTGCACAAAGGCATCGCTATGGCAAGCTTGCTTTTTCTCACTGTACCTCTATGTATGAGTAGTAGCTAGAACTGCATTATTAATGAAGAAACATTTTTCTTCATCTAGCTACTTGGGGGTTTTTTAATGCCCACTGGGGAAGTTCTTTGATTATTAATGAATGCAGAATACGGCTATTCTCTTTGGAATGGAAATTAGATGGACCAAATTAAAGCCTCCCACAGGAGGCATTTGCCCCTTTTATGCATTATTTACATTTTTTATACTGGAACTTTATGCTATTGTAAAGTTGGAAATACAAAGAAAGCTTTGAAAACTTAGTCTGGATAAATACTTCACTACTATGAGCTGTAGCAAATCCTGTTTGTATAACAGGTTTTTGTATAATGCAGTTAATATAAGTTATTATTTTGCTTTCAGAAAAAAATCTCCCGGAAAATTGTTTACTGTACAAATAAAAGCACTTGTACACTGCACATATATCCAGTATTTTATATGACCAAGAAAACTTATTTGCAAGAAATCTAAATATGCACAAATAAATGTAATGCACTATTTCAGTCATAAGCGACAGGATGTGAACACTTCATTTGTGACTGACTTGAATTTAGTTACTATAATGCAAACATCACTAACAGGGATCCAAAAAGGTTGAATATATCTGTACCAAAAACAATGAGCAAAAAAAAATTTTAATTATATTTAGTATACACATAACACCATGGGAATAAGCGTAAAAGCACAGGATTACACAGGACACCACTCACTGGCTTGAAGCACACAGAACAGAGACACAAAATTAGACCTTTTCAGAAAATCCTATGCAAACGGCAATCTCCATGTATCATATTGACCTTCATCCCTCAAGTGGAACTGGAAGTTGTATCCATGTCTACTCTCTCTAACTTCACCGACTGAGGAATTCAAAAATCTAACATAACATCTAGTTACAAAATCTGGGTTATAAAGCTGACAATTGCTATCCATTGAGGCGCAAATTTTCACATGATATTTTGATGAAAAGTGCTGTCTAAGTATCTGTCTTCAAGCCAGACACTTCCATTGCTTGAATTATTTTCTTTTACAGAATTTAGAGTGAATCATGGAATGGGTTTAGCATGCAAGACCTATTCAGCAAGTGATTTTACTGATCCAGATGCATAGCCATTGAAAGCTTTTGAGACAAGCTGAGCTCTTAAAAAGAAAAAACAAACCAAACAAACAAAAAAACCCCAAAAAACCCCAAACAAACCCAAACAAACCAGAACACCACACCCACAGATCTCCTTGGGGAAAAGCCTTAGGTGGAATTATAAAAATACTATCAGTTGAAGGCCATTCCAGCTGTATTCAAATAGTATTATCTGAGCTTGCCTCACAAAAAAAACACTGTCTTGCAACAAGCTGGAGCAGTAAGAAAGTTTTACCTAGAACATTTTGGCTTTTTAATGGAGTCCACTGATCTAGTTTCTCCAAACCAGCAGAATTTTTCAGAGTATGCCATCCGAGACTGTATGACACTACTAATCAAAAAAACGCATATGGCATTTAGGGTATCTGATGTTTTATTTGTGTAAGCAAGCTACCCATCTATAAGACACAGCCTATTACATATGACCATAAGCTTTTCCTTTTCATTAAGCTCTTGAGCTTAACACAGAAATTTACTTGCCTGGAATTATACATGTACAGATAAAAAAAGCCATGCTTCTAAATATAGTAAAATGCAAAAGATATTTATTGCTGCGAATCGTGCACTTAAAAATCGAAGTATTCACTCAAAGCACGTTGTCCCATTAAGCAGGAAGGTTAAAAGCTCTACAATAGCTTCCATTCACAGCAGCTCTTCCAAACATGAACTTTGACAGGTTGATCCTCTTTTCCTCCAGCAGTTCAGCACTCAGAATGCCATGGTGCACTGCAAGGACTAGAAGAGGAAGTAGTAAGCAAGTCAGTGTCTGGAGATTTTGGAAGTGTGACAAGTACAATTACACTAACCATCAGCAAGATGCAAAAGGAATGGCCTACTTCGATCCTGACAGATGGAGGGACCCACAAATTCAAATATTAGAAATAACTTATCTACTAGATGAAAAGCATTCACAAAATTGTATGAAGAGATAGTCGAGGCTGTTTCTGCTTTTGGGTTTTTAGCAACAAAACCAATTCCTCAATCTCACTTCATAGTATTAGTTAGAGCATGCCCAAAAATTATTTAGCCAGCTGAACAGTTCACATCTTGCTACCTACATTCTACTGGTAACTTCCACAGTCTACTGTGGTGATCCAGCAATAACGTCCCATAGCAATAAAGTAGTTACTCCACTAACAAGCAGGACTATTCACAGTAATAACCTGCAGTAGAAGAGCAGTGAATATCAACTAAAGAATTATGCTTTCAATATTAAGATGCAAATTGAATTATATGTTAATACTAAGATAAATGTTTTTTACAGATCTTTTGATGATTTCATTACAGTTGCACACACCATCAGGAATGATGACCATACCTTTATCTTAATTTTCCTTTTGAGAAACTGTGAAAGTTTAATGGAAGCTCCGATTCCTAATGCTGATACTGCTGGTGGTCAGCTTAACATGAATGAAGCAACTCTGTAAAATTACAAAGTGCAAGACATGCAAATCAAAAAAAGCAGTTATACAAATAACAGGCCTCCATAATCAGTACCTACAACCCATTATAAATGCTCAAACAAAACTAGTATTAAAAGTTATCCGTTTAAGAGAATTTAAAATTCAAGTTTCTCATAATCACCAGAGGTTCAAAGTGATACCAAGATTCCACTGAAGTCCTAGTATGTGCAAGGATATATCCTACATGGATATCATAATTCTGCAAGTTTCTAATCTGAATGCTGAAGGGGTAATTAAAAAGCAAAAGAATCAGAAGTTTGTAATTGGTATTATTTTTAATAATTAGTTTCAGCCAAGACAGTAACCATGAATTCATTTTTTTTAATCCAATTTTAAAAAGAAACAAAAAACATTCAAGTAGCCTGATACTAAACACACACACACCCTTTTTTTTTTTTTTTTTTTTTTTTTTGAGTCACTCTACTACAGAACCAATTGATACATTAACTTACAGTCTTGGAGTCGCCTCCTTACCATCATCATTTAATTCTGAAGAGTGACAGAATTAGATTAGGCATAAAAGCCCAGTCTTCTCAACTTTGCACCTCAGAAGGCAAGGCAGTGGTGGTAACCACTCTTTAACATTGAGCTATACGTGCCTGGCTGCCATAGCAAAACACTCAGTATCTTACAATAATAGGTTCCTGACTCCAGACTGCATTAGGTCTCTGCAGTTTTTCAGCATCTACTTCGCCATCCTATAGAACAAACGCACACATTTGTCACAGTTGACAATTCACATTTAACTTGCAAAAAATATCAGTGATTTTTAATGCATTAGATTACCTGTAGCATTACATGTTAAAATGTTCTTACATTATTAAATAGTCACTATAAGAGAAAAGCGCCTGATCTAAACTGGAAGCAGTAAGCAGAACTCACTGCTTAAAGCATATCAACGGCAGTGAGCAGGTAAACAGGTAATTAAACATCCACTAAACATATTCAAAAACACTATCAAAGTTATAGCATTTTCAAATGTAAGATTTACATGTGAAGATAATCAGCAAGTTGATTAAAATGACGACACCTTTGTTTTCAATACTTAGTATCCAAATTATTAGCATTTCCACTTTGAAATAATTAATAGATGCTTTTCCTTTTACCCCTCAAATCTCCTCTTGTTATTCACCTACTGCAGGGATGTTAAGCAGAAACAGAAGCACTGAGGTTCAGAGCCTACGTGATTTAAAATATAAAGAGAAAAAAAGAAGCCCCTCTAATATAAAAATGAAGGTCACTCACCTGTCACTGGAGATCTTCCAATACATTGCTTCTGCAGATCTATGTTCTTGAGAAGGTGCGTGTTGACACCTCAGAAGCCAGAACCATCTCGTAACCTGTGGGGCTGCGCACATGACCTCTGTGAATCCTTGCCACCTTCCATTGCTCTTTTTCCCCGTACTGAACTCCTGAATTCCCTGACTATTACTCCTTTTAACATGTGACATTGCAGTGCTCATATTACCATCTGTAAGTCAAATGAATGTTAACGCAGACTCCTGGAATACAACAACTCCTATCACTATCTATTAACAACATTATAGAAATATCTACAGTATTTAATACTTCCTTTTCACAAAACACCATGTAACTTTTCAAAGCCAGCACATCCCATACATATCTACAAAAAATAGGTTTAGTCGCACAACATGTATGAGCCTGCCCTCTTTACTTTAAAAATTGTATGACCTTAAAGAACATAAATGTCAGATTTGGGACCTCATGCCAGAAGAAATACCTTGCAAAACACGCATCAACCATTCTGGAAACTCCAGTTCCTTGGGATGCTAACCTGGGAAGTTATATGTCTGCCTTATACTTTTCCAGTCAAGCTCCATATGCAGTACAGAACAAAGTCAATCAAAATCCTAGTCTCAAAAGTTTCACAACTGGCTTTTAAGGTTCTGTTATCTGCATACAGAATTATAGCACTAACACGTATAATAAGGTACAGCGAACCTGAAGAAGAAACATTATTTTGAGATGGCAGTGAGAATCTGAACATGAACTGCCAACATATTTTGATTAATTTTATCTTATTAAACAGCAACATGTCTATCAAGTCTGTAGTACTGTAAACTCTACTGTCACCTATAATTATAATTATCGTTGAAAACTGTACATTTTACCTGAAGAAGAATGATTATCACCGGGAACATCATGCTAAGGTATTTCTACTGAAGAAAAAAAGCATGAAACAATACTAGGGTTGTTTTCACAGCTGATTATATAGTTATATTGTTTATATTATCTTACCTGTCCAGCAATAGCACTGAAGTAAGTCAACATGGGGTCAGCAGCAGCAGAGTAAGTGCCAGCATATGCAGAACATCCAGAGCGTGCACCGTGAGGCATATTTGGTACCACTCCTGGCACTAGCTGTCCCATTGTCACTGGCATTCCAGGCATCTGTAACTGTGATACTTTAGGAGAAAGAAAAAAAAAAAAAAAAAAAGTTCAGTATCTTCACCTTGATAGCCTGAAATGCTTCAACTTTACAAAAAAAAATGTACCTTATGCATGATTAAGAAATACCTGTTGCACTGTTTATTTCAAAAAATAAATCCGTTTCAGACTCAGTCCTACAACTGGATTTATTGTTAAATGACCTCCATTTAAAGGAGTTTTGAGAACACTTGGTGACAAAACAGAAGAGTACAACTCCAGATACACTTCCACACACCTTTGACTGCATTACCAAGGAAGCTTTCTAAGGAAAAAAAAAAAAAAAAAAAAAGTTATATTATACTGCTAGGTTTTGTTTTCCTTTGGAGGTTTGTGGGTGGAGGTGGTTTTGTTTTTAAACAGATATCTTGTGGGCATTAGCGATATTTCTGCAGGACACTGTAGTCATTATTTTAGCTACTCTAATAAAATTTTTAAAATGCAGTTCTGAACATTAAGTTCTAATCATCTTATTTTCCCTGCATTTGCTATTGGATCAGTCTTTCCTTTTCAGTGTTAAACTGTTTATTCAGTCACTCATCTATGCCAGGATTTCAAAGTACTTTCTTTTTATGTGGGTACCACAACAGGTGGCAGGGATTCCCTTCTTCAGGCTGGGCCACGTACAATTTGAAGTGGCTTTGAGTACCTGAGAACTACAATTTTATGAGCAGCTTATAGATTTTATTGTGCTGATATGTTGCCCTTACTTATAACAGCAAAGTAAAGCTTAATTTACCTATATTTAAACATGGGATGTTTTATCCAAGCATTTAAGTGACTAAGAAAAACAAAATACAATCACAGAGTTGAAGTTTTCCAGATACAATAACGCAAGGCTTGTCACGCTACACAATCACCCAAGAGGAAAGTCGGAGTTACAGCAACCAACAAGAAAGTGACAGAACACAAAACCCACGGCCTTGTGAAAATAAACACTGCACTGAACTAGTTAGATCAGCTAGTCTTCGGGAAAACAGAAACAGGCATCTTTTTTGTCCCAAGTTGCCAGTGTTACTCCTTAGCACAGCTGCAAACAGCTCCTGCAGATCACGTATAAAAAAGTATCTTTGTCATATTGCAGAAGCAGTCTCAGATCTATAGTCCTGAAAGAAGCAAAGCCCAACAAGCCATCACTGCCACTATTATCATCTGTGCCAGTTTTGTAACAAGAATAATTTTCAGCTGTAGCACTGAAAGGCAATTTCAAAGGCACATAAGACATTTTAGGATCCCCAAATACACAGTATCAATATTTAAAGATTTAATTTTAACTGACAATGACAAAGGAGCACACAAAGGTCCAGTTTGCTTAAGCAATACAGAAGCTGCTGAACACCAGTGTCACGAGAACTAAGCAACAAGCCTCTCTAGTGACTGTATTTACACTGAGTAGCTAAACAATTTAGAAAAATATTTTTACTTCTTACGCAGCAACCAGAAGTACTTGAGCAGCTTTCCTTTTGCTCAAAGACATGTAATGCAAAGAGCATCCAATTCTTACACTGTTATCTTTGTGCTGTAGTTGTTGTAAGCGCTTTCCCATTTTCTAACAACTACTAGTAGTGTTTCCAGCTGTACTGTTAGTCCACCCTAGAATGCTATTTTTACAAAAGGTAGCGTAGTGCCCATGACCATTGCAGCCCCCCCACTGGGCACAAGAAACACCAAATACGATACAGCTTTTTTTTGCAAAAGGGCAATAACCACCTCAAAAGATCCGAGCGGTACGTAAGCAGTGACCCCGGTCCCCCAGGGGTCCCCAACTCCTTCTGCGTAAGGATTTGCAGCTGAGGTTTATTCAGCACACGGCACCTGCTCCACCCACCGGCCCAGGGCCCACGGACGGCCCGGGTCGCTCGGCTGCAGGCGCTGCGCAGCCACCCCCCTCCCCTCATCCGCCTCGACTGCTCCGGCTCCGCCGGGTGAGCAGTCCGGTTCCGCAGCTAGCCCCGGGAGGAAACCCTTTCCTCCGTTACTCTCCACCACAGCCCGGCCCGCTCGCGTGCGCGGCAGAGAGGGGCGGCCGGAAGGCTCCCCGCCATCCGCCCCCGAGCAGGCGCGGAGGGCC